TTGTTGCATTGAACGTTTTTTAAAGGGGATATATTTCCCTTTTTCTTTCTTGTAAATGGCCCATATTTATGTAGAGCACTTCTCATCATGATGACCACTCATACCACTTTACAATTCTTTTTTTTGCCATTCGCACACACATACAGTGCATCAATGGGCAGCACGGCATAGCTGTCGAGGGCAATTTGGGGTTCAGTATTATGCCCAATGGCATTTTGACATGCAGCTGGGGAAGACTGGGATGGAACCACTAACCTTCTGGGCACATTTTGTAATTTGCTTTTTAGTGTATGTAAAATGTTTCTAGATTTAAAAAGCCAAAAGTCTGCAGTAAAGGGAGCTCTTCTTCCCTACAGAAGATAATGGACAAAACACCCTGGGAGTCATGTGACATCCCAATATCCCATATTTACATACGTGTTGCAGCGAGTGTGGCCCTTACCAAAGCCAGGTGAAGGGAGAGCACAGGCCAACCTTTGACTATCCAGTGCTGGAAGCAGTAAATCTCAACAGAGTGGACAAGTTGGCCAATCAAAGGGGATTGGGCTTTATCGGGACAGGGGCATTAAAGAGACACGAGGTGAAACCAAGTGTTGGAAGCTGAAATGAAGAGCTGTCCTGATGGACAGAATGAGGAGAGTGATGTGTTTTCTGAAAAGTAAAGCATGTAAACCTTTTCAAGTATTAATAATAATTAAAGTTATGAACCTGGATAAGAGCATAATATGTCTCATTAAGTAATTTTACATCCAGCCCTGGGTAAGCCTGATCGCAACGTAAAGATGGCTTCTCTCTTTCCCCACTCAAAAGGATGTAGAGTGCCACAACATATTGCAGTGCAACAAAAGTATTTATTTTACAACTTAAGTAGAACAGAGGTGTCAAGGTCAGAACAGCCAAAACAACAAACAAAACAATCGGTAACCAATCCTCACTGAATTCCCTAAAGAAAACAAGGACACTCAGATCCAGTAATCCAGATCCCTCTAAAATCCACAAAATCGCTACCTAACAACAAGGCGTGGTCGGGCTGGCAGTTCAGGAGGCGAAGAAGCAAGAGAGAGACGGCACCAACAGCTGACATTTTTAAGGTTTGTGCCGTTTAACTCTCCGGTCCAATCTGTTACCACCACCTAACTCAAAGCCCCCCATAGAAGAAAACAGAGGAGAGTTATACAGCACCAACCTCTGTTGGGGAGGAAGAACAACAACAAAATACATGTGGATTCACAATTCATGACAGTAAGTACTGTCCATTAAGTTTTCATCATACAGTTAGGCTGATTCAGACATTATCCAGAGTTTTTACTAGGGGGTAGCAGGAGAAACTTAAAGGGAAAGTCACAAGCCTCATTATGATCTCACATACTCTGCAGAATGTCAAGGGATTATCTGGAGTTCCATGAATGTCTGAAAGCAGCTTGTGACACATTTAAATGTTTTGGGACACAGGCCAAAGGTTTGTGTGGATGTTGTTGAGACAATTTGTCATAGTGGAGACTTATCAGGTTTGTTAGTCCAGTCTTTCATGTGGATTTGTTATCAAGCAGAATAAATAAAATGAATTAATACTCAGGTGGACTGTCAGGTTGACTGTCTTACTGTACCAATTGCACTGTTGTACCAGCCGCACCTCTTCAACTTACACTGTTTCCTTTGACTTGTGTTTATTGTCTTTCTTCTGTGTTTTTATATAAAAAAAAATGTACATCTAGATTTGTCTACTTGATTTTTGGTTGGATAAATGCTGCTGTAGCAACAAGAGCTGCTGAAACAAATTTTCACTGTTTTAATGTTGGTGACAATGTTGAACATTGACAATAAATGATCATGATCCTGATTCGGATTCTGAAGCAAATCCTTCAAAGTTCCATTATTTGTACATCAGGTAAGCTATTAAATTACATCAATTGGCTAAATGTGAAATCTGGAGAGGATTTCATGGTTTCGTGGTTTTGGGTCCACACAAAATGTGTTTGACTTTGTCAGATGTTCTGTATATTGCGTGACCTGATATCGTGTTATACTGTCAACACGCTGAAAAGGAGATGGAACAAACAAAAGAGAAGTAAGTAGTCCTAACTCCTCTTAAACCCTCTTTACACCAACATTAGTGTGATTTGTTATTTTAAATGCCGGTAAACCCTTTAGAAAAAGGTGACTGACTCCCACTGCCAGTAGATACTAAGTTTGCCTTGCCATCATTTTTCACGTTTGATGTAACGAACATTCCTGAAAGGAGGGTTAGTAAAAAGCAGAAAGCCATTGACTGCGTTTGTGTCCAACATGTCCATCACTGGATATGAGAGATGGAGCAGTGATCACTGAGGAGTCAATTGAGCCGGGAATTAATGAGGGCTGTAACCTTTCACACTGAGGACAAGAGCCAGGTTGATGGATTGTTTTGTCCAGTATGAAGAGACTTTAGATACCTGGGCTATGACACCGTGGTGGTCATTTTTTTTCAGTGCCAGTGATAACAAAAAGAACAAATCTTATGGTGTATTCTAATTGCAAGGAACCTGATATCTCTTTTATTCTGCACTCTCGGCTCAATGTCCTCTTCATCTCTGTACATGAACTCCGTCAGCTCTCCCTCAGTATCTTTAATTTACTTTTCCTAGTTGTGATATACCTCAGCAGGCCTGCGTGTTTGAACCAACTGACCTTGTTACCATTTCACACAGCGAGGGCAGAGAGATACCACGTGTCCTCCTCAGTCTATCTCATCCATCAGCAGCCCACCCCTACACAGCGATTGTCCAATCATAGATTAACAAATGCCAAGATTGTGTTGGTGTGTGAAGTGTTGCGCTTGTATTCTTTTTGCCTTTCAAAACTAAAGGGTGTGCTGTATAAAACACATAAGCAACTGTTTCCATTTCTGTTAACGTGTAAATAAACAGCCTCTGTGTTTAAGAGTGGGCTTACAAACTTTCTTTTTGATAAGGCTTATATATAGTTGGAGCTGCCTCAGGTCTGTCTTGGAACAGCTCTCATGCTGCTATACAGGCCGAGATTGTCAGGGGACACACAGAGCTTCTCTTTCTTCCCCTCGCTCCTCGTCGCGTTAATGTCTAATCAATACATGTTACTGACTTGACTTCTACCCCAGAGTCCTTATGCTTTATCGTTACAGATCCAGAATCAGGGCTGCAGGTACATCAAGGATCATGATTGTGGTTGAAGATCGTGATGGTGGATTCTGATTATGAATCGTGGTGGCAGCTGATGGGTTATGTTTAAAAGTGGATTGCTTTGATATACAATATGCATATTCATATCTTCTACAGGCAAAGTCTTGATCATTACAATTGACATTGCTGCTCCCTTCATCTCTCTCAGACATTTTCTTTTGTGTACATATTGATGCACCTCTTCATTTATGTTACACACTGTCTTTTCACATGAATGTTGTAAATATTGTTATTTTGTCGATGTGCTCGCATGGCATCTTTTCACTTCTGTCTGTCTTGGGAGAGGGATCCCTCACTTGATACTGTCTCTGAGGTTTCTACATTTTTTCCCAGTTAAAAGGTTGTTATTTGTAGTTTTCTCCTTGTTCTTTAGAATACGGGCCATACAAATACAATTTGATCGATTGATAATCATCATGCACTAATGAAATTATGTAGCTTTGCCAGGTTTTATTAATCTTTGTGGTCATTTCCTCTTTTGTGTCTCATTTTGTGTATTTTGTGTGATAGTTTTTTTATTATTTTCTTTTTGAACAAGAAATGTCAACACACACCCTGCAAACACATTTTAGTTTGACAAAATGTACCTGAAGTGTACAGGAATGTTTGCTGTACTGCTCCAGCAAACATTCTCCTATGCAGAAACGTTTTCTTAGCACATCTATAATATTTGACTTTGTTTAAAAAGAAATTTGGTTAGGAAACACTGATGAGTGCAAAGGATTCACATAGCGAAATTGTTTTGAACCAGATATGCCCACACATGCCACATACCGATTGGAATAATGGCACTTGGGCGGTCCACTTCTGTTTGCCTGATCTGAGCCACAAGTAAGCCATAGCATTTCAACCAAAGATGGGCGGAATTTGTTTTGTGCTGTTTGGGCCATATTCACAAAGTTGGTAAATGCAGGCTCACATTCATTTTGGCTGGACTACCAAAAGAACGTGCTGCATCTTTGCCTGAGGTCCACATCTGTACCTGGGTGTGGCCCCTGGAGCTGTGCCTTGACTGAAAAGTGTCATGCTGGAGGAGGATTTTCCACAACCTGGCAAACCAACAGTTTTTATCAATTGATCTATAAAACATATTTAAATAGTGTATTATCCAGTAATAAATACTTCAGCTATAGCTAACCTAGACACTACCTTATCAGAAAGTAACTGTCCGTCCCACTCTCATGATCTCATGACTCTCTTATCTTCAGATTACACACTAACTTACTCTTGGATTCAAGGTTGAACCAGTGGTCAAAGGTTTGAGGTCAAAGTCACTGTGACCTCTTGTGGCACTATTTTGGCCATAATTCAAGAGTCATAGTAATTGTACAAATGATTGATTTATTATATAAGTCTGTTTATATAATTATATGACTATTAAATGGTTTGTTGGCAGAGGCAGAAGAAGCTGAGCTGTCCGTGTATTGCTGAAGTTTAAGAGTCATATTCTGAAGTGTTTTACAATATTCTTCCCCTCCAGTAAAATAGTACATCAGTGCTAGAACATATTTCATGAAAGGTTTATTCACTGTATTTGTAGCTTAATATGATGTTGAGGTTTGTGAACCATACAGAAAAAGTTCTCCTGAAGAAACACAAAATGATTCATAAAGCGCAGCCACGTCCACCCTCTGACTTTCTCTGACTCTGTCAGATTATTTGTCGAAGCCACAGGCTGCACCTCAGCTCAGTTGAGTGTGAGCAGGCCGGCCGGCGGGTGCGCACATGCTCAGTGAGGTTATTTTTGCGCACAGAGGCTTTAAGAGCGCAGCGGCTGGAGGTAGACGGCAGCAGAGAGAGCGGAGAGGCGCACAGACAGAGCAGGGAGGGGAGCAGAGCCGACCATCAGCTGTGCGTCTCAGCCAGATGAACCAGCACCAACACCCCCGCGGACCCGGCTCTGAGCTGGGCACCCAGAGCTAGGGCGCATGAATTTGCGCCGCACGGCTCTGCACACGACATCTCCTCCATTGACTCTTACTTTTTATATACATATCGTGTTTTCTTTCCACTGTCATCATGGTGCTGGGCAAAGTGAGGGCCTTGGCGATCTACTTTGACAGTTTGAATGAGAACAACCTGCCGGCGTTCTCAGGGGGAGAGCTGGTGTCAGGGAGGGTGGTCGTGGAGGTCACCGGGGATGTGCGGGTGAAGAGTCTGGACATAACCGCGAGAGGAGTCGCCAAGGTCCGGTGGACAGAGTCGAGGAACGCCGGAGCCAACACGGCGTACACTCAGAACTACACAGAGGAGGTGGAATACTTACATCACTACGACACCTTGATAGGAGAGGAGAGAGGTAAGCAGTTAGTTCAGTCTCACTGTCACACGCTGCTGCTGCTGCTGCTGCTGCTGCGGGACAGCTCGTCACGCTGATCACGCAAACTTTTCTGTCTGTGACGGAAAAGTTAGTGAACGCAGAGGGTGGCAAAACAAAGCGCAGAGCCCCCAAAACGCTTAGTGCATCATCAGTGACCAGGCTCCGCGGTGCTGATGCAACAGCTGATGGTGACACCGGGCTCCTGTCCTCACTCCGAACCAACACATGAATTATTGAGCCGAAGCGTTTGTTAAGCACAGACCCTCAGCAGCAGCAGCAGCAGCAGCAGCAGCAGTTTGTTGTGCACTAATCTGCACCCTGACGTCTGAATCAAAAAGTTGGATCCCATGCGTAAAAGAAGAAATCGACCCAAAATCTAAACAAACCGATGTGCGTTTTTTTTTTTAAATGCTTGGCGCAACATTACAGCAGATGCAGAATGAACATTTTACTGATGATATTCTGATGTAGGCGATAGCTCAGGCAACTCCCTTTGTTAGAAGCGGTTCAAACCTGTTCAGAAACTGCCAGAGAGGGAAGGAGGGAGGGAGGGAGGGAGGTAGGGAGGACCAGACTGACTCTGTGCGTGCGTGCGTGTGTGTGTGAGTGTGTGTGTGTGTAATGATATGTCAGCTGCCATCCTCCTCACACTTCCTGTACCTGTGTTACTCTTGTAAAACCTGATGCACAAAGACTTCGATGGAAACATCATGTAAATAAAAGGCTCCTGCAGGGATGTGCTACATCATAAGTTTGTGGCTCTGGCTCTCACCTCCTCACCAGACTAACAGTAACAGCAGCAGATCATTTGAATTGTAGACTGAGACCAATTATTCCAAAACGCCACCACAACCACCATCATGGAGGATTTGCCGTCACCACCAACCTCTTGTCTCTGAGAGGGACTTTGTTATCTATACTGGCCACGCTCCACAGCTACATCCTGTTCGTTTGTTTTAAACTAAGATCATGTGGAAAAATATTGCAGTTGCTTCTCTTTCAGGGAGGAATTTGTCAATTATTTGGACTCAATAACAGCATGTTGGGTCAATCAGTCAAATCACGTGATCTTCCTCAGCAGATGAGAGTTTGCCCACTTGTATTAAAATTGAATATGTTCAAACAGTTTTCATGTTTCAGTTATCTTCATTCTTGAATGACTTCATTTGAGCCAGGCTGATGTATTTAGTGAACAGAGAGATATGTCCAAACTGGTGAATTTGTTGACTGATAAATAAGAAAGTGAAACAAACACATTTTAACTGTATCAACTTTGATGCAAATCATGGTTTCTCTTGGTCACAGTTTTGAAAAAGCAAATCGAAATTATCATGATTTTTTTATTTGTGTTTAGGTTTAAAAAGCATGCAAAATACAAAGATTTGATTATATTATATATTATAGTCTGTATACGTCAGGCCATAGACCTGCATTACGGCTGCAATTATTAATAATTGTATTTTTCATTACTATTACATTTTGGATTTATGGCTTCCACTAATCATTATTTGAAAAAATTGTAATACAATATATACAATATAGACTAGATAAAAGTTTAAAGACATGTGTTGCCATCAAACACCCAAAGATTATTATCAACTGAGATGCTAAGGACACTAATTTCACTGTCTGAACCAAACATCAGCTTTTGTTTTTTAAGACCTTTAATAAAACTCATGTGTTATTCCATGACACTAAATCTCCATGTGCTGAGAAACCTCATGAGATCTGACTGAAAGCTCAAGAAACTGCCAAAAGGACTCTTTCTGTTTTTAAAGGAACTGCTGTCAAGTTGTGACACTGGCCTTACTGTGTGATGAGTTTGGACTGTAACTGGTTTTGTTGTTGTTAACTTGTGGTTGATGAATAAAATGATCTGAATGCAGCACATTTCTTTTTTCTGTCTTCATTTCTTCGCGTGAGAACAGTACCTGGAGTTCACTGATAGAGTACACCACCCTTCCTCTCTTGCACCCCCACACACCACATGGCTGTGCTAATGTGGGCAGGGGCTTGTCACGGCTGTACCAACCAGAGCTCAGCCTGTAATTCATGTCACATTCCTCTCCAATGGGAGACTGAGTTGTAATGCATGCGTTGGAGTTTCCAGCTGAAGGAAGCTGCTCAGTCTGGTTCATACCGGTCTACTCCTGCTTTGCTCTGTGTTGCCGGTGACTTGACGGGGGCTTGTGCGCACACACACACACACACAAACACACACACACACACACACACACACACACACACACATGCATGCAAGCTGTTTATGACAGCTCTCACGCCAAACTCATAGGAACCCACACAGACACACAGAGTGAGACAGACACAAACAGCAGAGATGCAGGGTGAAACAGAGTGAGTGCTGAGGTGGCAGGAAGCTGAAGTTCAGCAGGGCTGAGTGCAGACACTTAGAGAATTTCAAATACAAACAACAACAGAAGAAATGAGGAAGCGAAAGCAGAGGCCGTGTTCTTTCTCCCACAGGGTGTGCTGCTCTCGACTCTATTATTAGTCCGCGTGTACTGAAATTGAGCAAAGAAATTAAATGAACCTCGGATGTTTAAACAACTATTTGTCTTCCACCAAATCCTTACTGCATCTGGAGTCTGTAAATGGCATCAGTTGTGTTCAGGTTCAAGCTCGACTGACCAGACTGGCACCACCAGGCTGTGTCTGATCCGAGACTGAGGGTAAAACACTGGAGACACATTTTCAAACTGTGTAATCTGACATAATACCACAGCAGACCCTTCTCATGTTTTATTTGAACAGTATGACCTTTAGAGTCCCACAGGTCACAATGTTCAAGACTGTCAACCTGCAAACAGCCACATTGGTCATTTGTGGCAACAGTTACCGCCTATAGTTACGTTTCATTATTGAGTGACATCTAATGGCTGTAATTATGACAGTAGCAAAGGAGAAACACTTGACCTATAAAGAGCGAGAAAGTTTTGTTGTTTATTTTATTGACGAGATGATGGTCTGTCAGACCGTTAAATAACTTGTAGTCTGAGGTAACATAACATAGTTTTGTGGTATTTGTTTTTAATTGTTGTTTTTTAACACAGTAACAAAGGGAAGAAACTCTTTGGGAAATTCTTTGACGTTGTTAATGTGTAGATGGATTAATTTGCTGTGGTGTTGAGTTTTGTTTACATTAATTGTCCCCACTTGTTAATTTTTCCATCAATAAGATTTCTTCAACAATTGACTTTTTAAATGCTTATATGCGTTCTTATGTATGCTCGGGCTATGAATCTGTGTTTATTTCCAGTTCTGATGGAAACCATGGTTTTGAACGCAGGCTTTCTCTATTTTTCTTTTAGATTTCTTAATGATTTTGATATTACCTGGAAGACCTCAGAACTCAACCTATTTGGTATAAGCTGCAACTAACAGTTCATCTGGCAATAATGTCTGAATTAAAATCATGAAAAATGTCTTATTTCTCACAGACCAAGGTGTGATCTTCAGATATCTGTTGTCAGGCTGACAGCCCACGATCCAATATATGTATTTTAATGTCATATTGAAAAGGAGGAAGTATCACATTTTGAAAAAACGTTTTGGCATTGTAGCATCGAAAATGTAAAAAAAAAAGATTAATCATAGCTATTCATTAGTTCTAACTCAGCGTTTTTAATTGAGATGAAAATGTGGATTTTTAGAACAGATTAGCTGGTGCAGTTCCATGACATTTAACTACGGACTGGTTTTGTGATTCATTGTCCTCTCCTGATAGAATTCACATATTTCTGCTGGCTATGCTTTTGGAAATATGTGAATCCCCTGAGGTGAAGTGTGGAGTGCAGTCCGCTGTGGACTAGGTCTCCAGTCTGTGGTGGGGGCTTAGTGCAGAGTACAGGTGTATATGGACACATGTCCTTTGTCTTTCAGATGAGGATTGTCCAGAGGAAGGTCTGACTGTTCTGCATGCCGGCCTCCACGAGTTTGCTTTCAGCTTCAACCTGCCTCAGATGTGAGTAGTGACCAAGTACCGTACAGTTTTGAGACCCTTTAAAATGATCCAGTTACAAGAACATTTTGTTCATAATTTGTAGTACTAATACAACACACATAATCTACTAACATACATCTTTTAGAGATAATACCTCTGTGCTTTTACTTGAGTTGAATGCAGGGCTTTAACTTGTAGTGAAGCAGTCTATCCTGTGTTGGTATTTAAAGTTAAAGGATCTGAGTACCTACGCACTGTAGCCTACTGGATGTACTCAAAGTAAATAATAGTTTAGCCTAACTTCATAACACGCATTCTTTTTTCCTGCATTCCCATGTTTCAGGGCCCTGGCCACATCTTTTGAAGGGAAGCACGGCAGTGTCAGGTACTGGGTGAAAGCTGAACTGCACCGTCCGTGGCTGCTCCCTGTGAAAGTCAAGAAAGAGTTCATTGTGTTCGAACACATCGACATCAACACACCGCTGCTGCTGGTAGGCACGCCACACACGCTGCATTTAACTTGAAGGACCAGTTTAACGTTTTTGACAAATATTGGTTAAGAGGACATGGTTCCGCTCTCACGTATTTACTGATGGTAAATATGAAGCTACGACTGGTAGCTGGTTCGCTCTGGAGCAGAGGAAGGTTATCAAAAAACGCCCGATCAGGTTCCAGTTTCTTCTTCTGCGGTTCCAGTGTGATAACTTACCAGTTCCACTGTGTTTCATGTCATTCTGGACTGTTACCGGGATAAAACAAGGCATCAATATTCATCATATCGAACTCTGATGATTCATAGTACTTTCACACATTCGCTCACTGTTCAGGGGGGATTTGAGGTTCAGTATCTTGCCCAAGGAAACATTGATATGCAGACACAAGGAGCTGGGGATTGAACCACAGACCCTCTGATTTGTGGCATCAATCCTCTCATCAACCCTAAATTTTTTTCATGTTTCACCAGAAGTTAAAACTAGTTGTATCTGAACAGGCTCCTCAAGCTGGAACAAAGGAGAAGACTCTGTGCTGCTGGTTCTGTGCCTCAGGCCCGATCTCCCTTAGTGCCAAGATTGAGCGAAAGGGCTACACACCAGGTGAGAGAAAACTCCTCTTAACTTCTCCACCTCTCCTTCTTCTCTTTTTGCCTGTGAGATTTCACTTATATCACTTCTCTCTCAGTCTGACAGACTGATCTGTTGTCTTCTCTCCAAGGCGAGTCTATCCAAATCTTCGCTGAGGTGGAGAACTGCTCCTCCCGGGTTGTGGTGCCCAAGGCTGCGCTGTACCAGACCCAGACCTTCTACGCCAAGGGCAAGGGCAAGCAGATCCAGCAGCTGGTGTCCAATCTGCGAGGAGACCCCCTGCCGCAGGGGAAGAGCCAGAGCTGGGAGGGAAAACTGCTCAAAATACCTCCGGTGTCCCCCTCCATCCTGGACTGTCCTATCATCAGAGTGGAGTACGCCCTCATGGTGAGTCTACAATGTTTCCTTTCCAGTCAATATGAAACATATGTTATGTGTTCCAATGTAAAGTGATGGTGACAGCTAATTATTAGTTGTATTGACTTTATTTTAAAATATTTCATACTTAAAATCCATTATTCTTTCATGAAAACCAGCTTTTTACATCAATAATAATACAGTCACACACTATAAATGTATAACCTGTTAATATACTAATAATATACAAATAAAGTGTTAATATCTACCAGTAAGTTCCATACATAAATACTAGTATGCACAGTAATCCTACAAAGAACATGCTAAGAACATACTAATAATCAGTTAATGAAAAACATACTAAAACCAATTAACGTGCACATAAAATAATTATTATTATAATAGTTGCTGGGAAAACACTTATATTTTCCTGCTTCTGCTTGCTCTAACTGCAAGTTTACACCAAGTATTGGAGATGTTGTTTAAGTTCCCAAAGTGTGATATTATTATTATTAGAAAACAGGCAGATATGGTGGATATCTGCTATGAACAAGTACAACTGGTTTCAACAGCAGCAAAACATAATTTTGTTCTTCTTCCCCACACACTCCCTCTGCCTGCAGGTATATGTGGACGTCCCCGGGGGCTTGAACTTGTCTCTCTCACTGCCGTTGGTGATCGGGACCATACCTCTCCACACCAGCAGCACCCGCACTTCCAGCATAAGCAGCAACTGCAGCACTTTGACCTGGCTGGGCCTGTCGCAGACACCTGAGGGTGAATATTGCAAGCCCAGTGATACATGTGCAAACAGTACAGTACACAAAAAACCCTTACACTTGTGTTGTTTTTCTACTGCAGCACCACCAAGCTACAGCGATCTGTCAATATCAGAGTCCCACAGACAAGATTGTCTGCAAGGCTGTGATAGGTCTGACGGGGTGGGAGAGGACCAGGGATCTCTGCTAACTTATATCACAGAGTTCAGATATCTTCCCCCGCCAGTCTACTCTGAGGTACACGTCACACACACACACACACACACACACACACACACACACACGCACACATGCACACAGAAAATAAAGAGTGATCTGGCCAAGGGCAGCATGAAAACATGTTGCAACAGGAAAATCAAACAAAATATGATAAGAAAGCCTGAAACATTGAGAGTTGAAAGGGAGATAAAGATACTGTAAGAGGTAAATGGTTTAAATGGTTTGTATTTATATAAAGCTTTTCTAGTCTTGATGACAACTCAAAGCGCTTTACAGTACAGTAAAGAGGTTCAATTCAATTCAATTCAATTTGATTTGTATAGTGCCGAATCATAATATACATTATCTCAAGGCACTTTACATAGAAGGTCAAGACCTTAAAATCTTATTAATATAGAGAAACCTACCACTTCCCAGAATGAGCAGCACTTTGGAGACTGTGGAGAGAAAAACTCCCTCTGTTGGTAAATTCTTCTCGCAGGAAACAATTGGAAATATCTGCTAATAGCTAATTCCAATTTATACATAAAACAAATAAAGGCTAAAAGTCAAAGTAGCAGCAAAAAGTGATGGATTAACAGTTAAATTGTAAGGTAAATGTAAAGTGTGAATGCTTTAAATGAATGGTGGTGTGGATGAAGAGGTGTCTCACAGGGTTCTCTTCAAACTGCGACATCTGTTTGGCTTTAAAGGTTCAGTGTGTAAGGGATTTTGGGCAGAAATTTAATATAAAATAATCCTAGTGATGTTTTCACACACTGGAAACTGTGTTTCATCTAAATTGTATGAATGTAGTTTTCTTTACCATAGAATGAGCTCTTTATATTTAAATACTTTATATTTACATGGAGGGGGGTCCTATCTGTGGAGGCCGCCATGTTTTTTAATGTCGTCCAAACTGGACAAACTAAAATCTTCTTTTTCATAACACTGAAGTTCACCACAGGTTCTCTTTCATGTTGGGAAGGGGAGGGTGAGATGAGGAGTATTCAGCTGCAACATGACACTTCACCTCTAGATGTCACTAAATTCTACACTCTGAACCTTTAAGACAAAGTTCATCTTGATATCAAATATTAGCAGAGGCTGAGTGAACTTCAGTTTATTTTCAGGTTGTAGCTAAAGGTTGTGAACACTCAAGCTGCCATGCACTGCAAGCTTTTACTGTAGTCATGTTTGTGTTCTAATATGATCAGATAAGGAATCAAACACTGCATTTAAATTAAAAATTATTTAGATTTGTATTTTTCTTTTCATACCTTGTGTTTTTGCCCATCAACAGCTTCTAAAAATGCATCTGTGTCTCTGTGATCCCCCCGCCCAGGTTGACCCCAACCCAGACCCCGTGGAAGTGTGTCATGGAGCCATAGATGTCAGGAGACCTTACACGTGTCCATCCCGCTGAGGAGAGCTCTAGAGCTCAGAAGGCTTCTGCACAAACAAGACACCGTCACCCTCAGCTCCCAGGCCCACACAGCCAGCTTCTCGCTAGATTATATACCACGACAAATGAGGCTGTACCCTCCCCGACACGGGAATGTCAGCTGAGAGAGTATTAGGTGACCACTGACGAATGGACCAGGGATTTGGAGCCATCCTCTATATCCTGTGCTCAAGTCGAGGCAAAAAAAAGTTCTGTCTGACAACACTGACTGTATATCTCTGTCAGAGTAAGCCTCCTTCTGCCTCATGGTGAATTTTGCACATAACCGAAAAAACTGTTTTTCTATCTGTGGTTCTATTTACGGCAGATTCCCACAGGCCTATATGCTACAGTAGAATCTGTCCACAGGTCTAAACAATAGTGAACTCCTTGAACTAAAAGGCACATTTAAAAGAGGACAAGTTTGAGCTTATGACTGTGGCCTGAAGGCGTCACAAACCAGACTTCAGGTGGAAACCGTTGCTTCTTGTGAACAAAGCTGAAACTTACCAAAAGATTTAAAAAAATAAAAAAACGGATGCCGTGAAAATAAGACAGGGGACGTTTCCGATGATTAGTTGCAGAAATGAATGCATCACATAAACAACCACCTCAAGCACTTAAAATAAAGTTCAAATTGTGTGTGAAAGTGTGTAAATGAGAGGGAAAGAGTGTGTGTGTGTGTGTGTGTGTGTGTGTGTGTGCTGGTTTAAATGTCCAGGTGAAACGGATACAGGCCCTAGACAAAAGCACAACTCCGACCAACCACGATAAAATACCACAAGTTGCCTGTAGGTTTCTGCTCTGAGCTAAAGCTTTTCTCGCTATAGATTTTTTGCAAACGTGGATGTTAAGAAGCTTTGTGCTCACAAAGACAATGGCAAAATGTAAAAGATAAATGTTTACAGATGAATATATCAAATTGAGAATGTTGTTCAAACATGACTTCTTCCACCTGAATTTCTAACTACCAAGTGCAATATATTTTTGTATTTGTGATTTTTTTGCACTAGTTTTTCATATACTCTATTGCTGTTTATTCCATTTCTGTGCATTATATATTATTGTCATGATCTTATTGCTGTCATGATCAACTTTTGATAAAATAAAAGGTTTATTTTATAAAATAATCTTCAGTGTGCATTGGTGTGTTGGGGCTCCGATCTACTGTGTGATTCTTGTTCCACTGCTGAGGATACAACAAACCAGATGTAGGGCAGAGCTCACGTGAGCTGCTGACCTAATTCCTCACTGCAGACTGGCAAACGCCATGGAGGGAAAAAACAGAACAGAGATTTTAGAGTAATGCTATTTTCACTCAGGATGTTTCATAACCTACAGTAAACAGGCTTACAGTAGTAATGTTAGATTAAGTATTTCTAGTTCAATTCATTCAGAAAATACAGACCATATACTGTATATACATACTCACACACATGAAAGATATTTTTCATAATAACACCAGCCATGTGTGTGTGTGTTTAGAGTTTAACAGGAATTGGTTGCATGTCAGGGACTGCTGAGTGAACAACTCATCAGCAGTTCATGATCACTCAATAAAGACTTGAACCTTTATTTGATATCTTTGAGACTAGGAGTGCGTAATGCTCAGCAGGCAATCGTCTCAAAAGGCAGAGACCAGGCTGCCACTGTCGCTGTAGGTATTTGTGGTACCACAGACCGGATCTTACAGTTTTCACCAATACCACTAAAACAACGTGGCCTCTATCAACACTTTGAGTGATGAAAACAAATACTGAATGGACTGCCATGAACTTTGGTGAAGACATTTATGTTCCTCAGGGGATGATCTTGTGAAGCCATCAGGCCCTGCAGGATAGTGTTCAACTAGAAGAACTAATAGCCTTGGATTATGTAACAAGTCTTTGAAGGGAAGGTTTGCAAGTTTGTCAAATGTTCTTATTCATGAGTTAAATGTTTGAATTGTTTAAATCGTCTTGTATTTATCTCAGCACTGATGGGGAAACAGGGTGGGACTATAATCTTGGCTCTGTCCAAAACAAAAACAAAAATCCACTTACAAGCAGCGCAACAACACTCCCTGAGAGGGTGTTTAATCCCTAAAAACAAAAATTCACACTTTTATTGTCGGTTGGGACGTATAATTACCCTTTATTGTACAGATTAAACAAATAACATAATGCGTGTCAATCTGTGAGTCTTGGAGATACTGATAGGCAGAGTTTGTTTCCTGTAGGCCTCTGTTGTTCCCAGACTTAACACTAAGCTATAGGCCAACCTTCATGTGGCTCGATATTGAGCGTACAGACATGAGAGTGCTGCAGAATGCAGGAAAAGAAGCTATTCATCTATCTATCTATCTGTCCATCCATCCATCCATTCATCCATCCATCCATCCATCCATCCATCTATCTGATTAATACACAGGCCCTGGTGATGGCACAAAGTCCTCAACAACAGAGAGCAGGCTGTCATCTTAATTTTCCATGTTGAGGTACTAGTTATCATCAGATCTGAAGCAGGAGCAGAAAAAACACATTCAGTGCTATTGGCTACAGTAAATGTCAGTCAACATTTGTGACAATTTGTGTTTTTATGGGAATCACGTAAATTATAAAACATGCAGAAGTAAACATTTTACTCTGACAACACAGGTCATCTCCAAATCTTTTAATCACCAAATTAGAATGAGGTCCTGCTTATTGCTTATTTGGTGAAAGTTTGTTTAAAGGTTCGGTGTGTAGAATATAGTGACATCTAGTGGTAAAGTTTCATGTTGCAGCTGAATACCCCTCACCTCACCCTCCTCTTCAAGACATGAAGGAGAACCTGTGGTAGTCTTCAGTTGTCATAAAAACTCAAAAAGTGTTTAGTTTGTCCAGTCTGGACTAATGTAAAAAAACATGGCAGCCTCCGTAGAGAGGACCCGCTGATGTAAATATCAAGTATTTAAATATAAAGGGTCTATTCTAGAGTAAAGAAAACAACAATTTGTACAATTTAGATGAAACACAGTAGGGATTCAATAGGATTATTTTATATTCAATTTCTGCCTGTTGATCCCTTTCACCTAAATCTTACACACTGAACCTTTAATGGGAGAGGAGGCCGTAACATTTCAGCTAAGGAAATTTCCCCTTGTATCAGAACACTACTCAGTATATTAAGTTACGTCTCAGATTAAAGGGGCTTTGCTAGAATTCATTGGAAATGCTTGTTTCATATATTCAGGATGCACAATCACAGTGGCTCTCTTGTTTTGCAGATCTAATACACATGCTGCTATTGAAGCAAGGGGCAGTCATTTTGTTTTTGCAAATAAGCTCTCATCAGCACCCACATCCTGCTAGGATTCAGAGAGAGCTCACATCGGTCTTTTCCACAAAATCTAACTGTATGACGATTTACTGTAATGCAGTAACTCTGACTGCAGTTTAATTCTTCCCACAAAATAGATCGATAGCTTTTCAGATCAAGGTTGAGGAATTTCCTCCAAAAGAAAAAAGGCCACAAGGTTGTTGATGGGTTTCTTGTCAGATTTCAGATGTGAGTAGTTAAGTTTCATTCCAAAGTTAGTGCAAACATCAAACTTCTCAAAGATTGGCAACAGACATGTCCCTCCTCTCGTGTTAGGTGAATATGAGCTGACTAGTTGATGAGATAAACAGCTGGGGGTGCTGATCCTTTAGCCGCTGCCATCAAACCACTACATAGGAAGTTAAGGTGATTTAAGAGTTGCAGTCAAAGCTCAACCGATGGAAAACATGACAGAAATTTAACATTTAGTTTCATGTATCAATGTGGAGACAGATCCAGATTTCTCATCGCTCCACACGTCTGATGTTTTCTTTTTTTCCTGGTTCATGCACATCAGCGTTTAATCACCAAGAATAACGTATTTATGACATTTTGGCTTTTGTTTCCAGGGTCGATTGACAACAGGTGCACTTTGAGTTAGGTCTTCAGCCTTGGTGGAGGTAAGGTCAGATTCAATATTTCGCACACACACACACACACAAACACACACCCACACACACTCACACACACACACACACCCACACACACACACACTCACACACACACACACACACACACACACACACACACACACACACACACTGCACAAAATATAGCCTTGGTGTGAGCCACGTCTTTCTTTCTCTCTCCCCATCTTTCTCTCTCTCTCTCTCTCTCTCACAAACACACACTCACACAAAACAAGTAAAATGTCCAAAACAACGATGACAATGTGGAGACCCCTCGAAGGACAGATCTCTGGCTGTAGTCTCCTGTTCGACTGGTCAGTTAGTTGGTCGATATCCTCTCATTCTCATGCATGGAAGCACACAGACAAGCACCTTGTTGGTTCAAGACTTTTACCTCAACTCAGGATTACGTAATGCTCTCAAGACACATGCGCACATGCCAAGAACAAAAACCTCCAGTATGCATGCACACAATAGTGAGAGGTCACATGAATAATGTTTTGGCTTCTAATATACAGGCAGCTTCTGGCTGGCTGATAAACAGAAACTGGTTTGAACTGGATGAAGACACTCAGGCGCAGACAGACAAACAAAGAGACAGACTGGCATCACATTCTTTAAAGGGCTCATATTCATATAACTTCCTGGTACAAAGTTGCTCCTGGTGATGACATTGTTAGAATGATCCCTTCACAGACTAGATCTGGTAAAAATAGAAGTGATTCACGAGAGATCTCAGGCCCTAAGAATTCTGCTAAGGGGAAAAACAGTTGGTAGTAGGACTTTCTCAAGCAGAAGACTGATAATTGTTACTATCCTAACTTTAGTATGTAAGTTAGCTGTCAGTAAGCTAACTGTTAGTAAGGTAACTTTGGTATGTAAGTTAAATTGAGTAAGTTTGGAGCCAGAGTCTCCACAGTAGTGATGGTGGAGGGGAGCCACGGTACCAAGGATCCACTAAAGACCCACCCGACCAGCAGCGAGACAACTTCAGCGGTCAATCATGAAGCATGGTTAGTGGAGTGTTTAATGATGTATTGTGGCCCTTAGAGGATACAAAATGCAACAAAAAAAAATTGTGCTTAACAGGAAAAGGTTCCGCACCCCCATAAGAAATGCATCACCAAGCCATACCACACCCTCAACCCCACCTCTTTGTTAAGAAAAACATTTCAGTTCCTTGCTTTGTTTAGACAATTTTCCTAAATCACTCCAAAGCTTGGATCCTTCATTGTAAGTTGGGAGTGTATTTTCTGAATATCACAGCCACTGGACATGAGAGATGAAACCTTATTTCACTGTCATCGCTGACTGAGAAAGTTGTTGTGTGTTTTTTGTTTTGTTTTTTTACATTTACTGAATTGCCTGTCACTTGATCCTCTGGAAGGTGTTAGAATAAAAGGCTTCAACAGAGAGACACAACAATGTACTGTGTATTTATATATATCTATATATATTTATATATAATAAAACTGTCGGATTCCCCTGGTCTGCACCAGTTCTAAGTCAGCCGCTCTTGGCTATGTCATATTTGCCTGCACTAGTTGGTTTTGCTTGTTTGTTCAAGTTGCATGTGAATCAGACATGCCCGTGCACATTCATCAGACATGCGCACACCACAAACAAGGTACTTTGCAGGCATCTGGGCTGACATCCAACTCACAGGGCGTCCTTGATGACTTCTAAACACAGCTCAGCATTGGCCACAGTGTGTGGATCGGCTCTTTCTGATAAAAAAAATAAACAAACTAAGTTTATTTTCATTATGTTGAACCCATGCGTGGTCAAAAGGGAAATGCACATACACACATCTCATTAATTAAGTTATTGAGCACAGTTGATCGAATTAATTTGCTGTGGTCACGTAAGTGTGAAAACTGTCTGAAACCTTCGCCCTTTATCTTGGCATCCAGTTCATCTTCCGACAGCCAGCCAACAATCTATGGCCATTACCCAGACTGCCAAAAATAAACACCAGCCATCAGCATTCGGCTCGAAGCTGAGACACTGAATTTATGAGCGGTTTGTGCTTCAAAACTCTGCTTTACCACTGTAAGTCAGAGGTCAGTAGTGGGTCAACACAACAGTGTGGACAAACTGTGGAGAAGTTTTCACTGGGTTTGACACAACATGCTTTCATTCAGGGTAGCTTAATGCATCACATGAAAGTTGTTATAATTTAATATTGAGATTAGTATTTTACATAAATAAGCAGATAATGAAAAAATACTTTGGTGCTGTTTGATCACAAACTTGTTCAGACTTAATTTTGCTCTGTCTATGTTTTAAAACGTGTATTACTAAATATGTTTCAAAAGTATCAGCATTGTGAGGAATATTCCAATGAAATAATATAACAAAATAGGAAAGAAGCTTCGTGCAGCTGGATTAAAAAACTGAAGTTGAGACTCATCTAGTTTATAGATTTAGCAGCTGTAAACAAGTGATATTTTCTAAATATTTTATATAACAGTGTGGACTATTACTACTGCTTTAACAGCAAAAACTTTACATTTTATGTTTTTTTAATTCAATGTACTTTGTACTTGTATTTATAAAAATGAATCCATTCTGCAATTTCCCTGCATCAGATGAAAGCATTTAGTTTGCTCTTGTTCACAAAATCACTGCACAAGTAGAGTGACATTGAATCAGAGTTACGTGTAACAGTCATCTATTCCCAGCAAACCAAATTATTCACAAAAGCTTCTGCATCATATCCCAGTTCACACCTGCATTAAAATGTGTCGGGTGATCGGAGTACAATCGTAAAGTTCTTGAGAGTGTAAATGGACTTGATGCACATTGAGGACGGATTGTGATCTGATCAGATCCAGAGGTGGTCAGAGACTCATTGTGGCAACACTGAATACAAGTGCAGTTGATTTGTGAATAAACACGTGAAGCAGTCCTCTCCTCAGTCCTCATGTTAGTTATTCAAGACGCCTGTAAAGATGAGACCAGTGGAAAAGTTACCATCTTCTTCTATCTTTTTTGTAGTTGTTTTAGACCTGCTTAAATGGGAGTCTGTGATGCTGACTGGACAGAACAATCACACCTCACTGTGGACACTGGAGACATCTTTATACCAGGTGTACATGTCAGGTTAAAATAAGATGTAGATGCTATCTGGACATGGGGCAGGTTGCCTCGTAAAAGGGCTGAGAGTTTAGAAAAGGTCAAGTCTAAATGGAGAAATGTGTGAAAACTAAACTTTGGCAGAAAGTATATGAAGCCCACAGTGTGAATAACTTCACTCCTACCTGTCAGCACTTTATCAGATGGACTAAGGGCCCAGTCACACCTGTGCAAATACAAAGCGAACATCGCGGGTCAAAGTTCACCAGAGCTGAACTCCAAGCGAAGCCACCCTGTGATTTCCCTCTCCACAGGAAGTAAATATTTTATTCACACTATAGATTCTAAGTGAACAGGAGGTAAATATTTGACTGGGCACTAAAACCTATCAATGATCAATCCAGCTATTGACAGTTCTTTGAAAAACTAATATAAAACAGTTTTTTAATGATGACAGATATAAATACAGAGTTGAAATTATTGGTTGATCAAACAGAAAATGACCAAAAATCGATTTTATTTGTTGAAAAATAGTTTTTCTGCTTTTCTCAGTGACGGTTAACTTTAATTGTATTTTGAAGGAAACTGACATTTTATAGACCAAATGACTGATAAATAAATGGAGACCACAATTGCAATAAGAGGAAAGTGATGAGGAGTCTGTGCTGCCCCCTGGCTGTTGGTCTGTAGCTGTAACAGACTTGATCATTAATCCAATTCTGGAAATGAGAAACCCTGTGTTCTTCTCTGTCATAAAATGTAATGGTCCAGTGTGTAAGATTAAACAGAACAATCAGGATGTTCTCATTATTTTACAAATGTATAATCATACAAATGTATAATCATTTGAATTTACATCTAAACTATATGCTGGCTCAAGAGAGTGGCATGTGTTCACATTACCTGAGGGCCACTGTAGTTTCTCCTGCAGGGTTCTTAGAAAGCCACAAAATAATGAATCCATCAAGGCAAAAACTGAACATTGACCAAACAGGACAATTGTATGGCGCCTTTCAAGGGACCCATGGACGGTTTACATATTTAAGGGGACAAAGACAGAGTAGTGCACAGGTGTAGAAGGGATTTTTGGCAGATTGCAATAAGTCAGGTCATTTAAAGTTTTGAGTAGCTTTTTGAATGTCCAGAGGAATGTGGTATTTCACTTGGCAGAGCTAGCGTTCTAGAGGGTGGGGGCTGAAAGTCTGCAATCTAGTGTTGGGGATGGTGAGCAGGCTCCAGTTGAAGGATCAGACAATCTAGAGTACCTGAGTATGACAGTGGATCGCTATTGCTGTGAGTAGTTCCACCTAGAAACTAAGTGTTACTTCTAATTTCCTTTCTGTTCAGAACTTTAAAGAACAGGGTTTGAACACACAGAATCAAACATTCATGACAAATTACTCTCAGTATATTTTCAT